CAACCAAATTCTCCAAAAGCACCGAAAGGAAGAACAGAAATGGAAGCGTGAGTTGTATTTCCTTGACTTCCACGGGGGTGGGGGTGGGGGTGGCTTTATAAACATAGGGAAAAAATGAAGGGGGGGGAACAGATGCTGCCCAGAAAAAAAGTGACAAAATATTACCTCATTATTTAACAAAGCAGCATTAAGCGTCCTGCTGATTTCAAACATCTTGCCACAGATTTTGTTTTAAGAGAAACAGATAGAATCTTTTGCAAAGCATGCCGTCTGCAAAGGGTAGTTCAATTTTCTTGCGTGCCACAGAACAGTCAATATATTATTTCCCTAGAGTTCGCACATTAAAACCTCTAGTCAGTGAGCTGAATTTTCCTCTTATCTCACACACAGTAGACTCCGGTTATACGTACTACTCTCTTTGCAAGAGCAGCCTGCCCCAAACATGGCTGGTGTTGAAACTACTCTTTAAAGTAACAGTTCACTACATAACCACCAGGTGGGTAGAGTGTACAGATTCAAATGAATCATCTGAAAACTGTTTTTCCCCCCTTTCGAATAGCTTTTGGGTATAAGATGTGACAAGAGAAATACCAGCATCCTAACATGCAAGACTGTCTCTTGCTGTATCTTGTAAGTATAAATAAATAAATTTTTTTCTCATGACTTAAAGTGAGGAAGCAAAGCAAAACAAAAAACTAACAAAAAAGTCCTAAAACCTCTGAAAAATGAAACACAAATAAGCTTTGTTTTCATTAGCACAGAATGAACAAGAAAAACACAACACACTGCAAGAGAAAAAAACAGAAGCCCCTTGAAAATATTTTCCTTTAGGAAAATTAGAAAAATATTCACATGTGATGAAAACCAAATTTAAAAGTGTGTGGATGAAACACATAAGATGGAGGCAAGAGTTTAAGGGTGCAACTTTTCTTCTGAGTAAAACATTGTTTGTTTGATATGGTCTCTCTTTGTAGGAAATAACCAAAAACCCAAAAGCAATGACACTGAAAAAAAATCTCTTAAAAACACAATTATATAAACAGTTATTAAACAAAAACATCACTACACAAGGCTGTTCTATTCCTCTAAGATCTGCCTTGAAGTAGAACAGTTCCATTGTACACTATCTTGGATATATAGCTAACTCGGCGTCTCATTTGTACCATTCTATTCCAATTAATCTATTCCTCTGCCACAAAGAGAATGTGCCCAAGTTGAAAACTCCAAGTGCTAAGAGGGAGATGTTAAAAGGATATACAACCTCCTGAATAAAATAAATTGTATCACTTATATTTTTATATAGCCTGATTTTAAGGGCAGTCTTACTGTTTACAAAGCATGCTGCACCATTCTGTGTCCCTATGTATCTCTAACAGAAACCAACACATACTGATACCTGGCATTTTGTTTTCTTGGATGGACAAATTCTAAACTGCAATTTTTACCCACTCTTGCAAAAACAGATGTCAATATTAGTATTTTTCAAGCCCATCAAGGCAACACAACAGTGACTGTCTCCTTCATCTTTAAGACAAGTCTGTATCACTTAATACCATTTAACCTCCTTGCATATATTAAATTTCAAGTGATAATTTTTAACTGGGGAGTGAGAAGGAGGAGTTGCTCTCATCAAATTCTGGTTGTATGAAATAAGCTAATTTGTACACTCACCATATGTCTTAAACACTAATTAAAAAATGTCACTTTCTTCAAACATTAAAATGTAATCAGCCTAGTAAAGAAAATATTCTCAAGTTTTCTTTCCTTGGTGATAATTTAGAGTGTTTAATCTCAAAGTAACCTCTCTATCTTGATTACCAAGGAAGACTTTTGATTTGAAAAGGGGAAAAGGAGATACTGGGGACTGCGGAAAGTGAGAAGAGAAAACCACTACTGTACATGGCTGTACAAAGGAAAATAGGATGAAGCAGGAGTTTAAGGACCCATAGTCTTGTTACCCTAAGGCAAATTCAGCCAATCAATACCACCCATTGACAGTCTACCATCTGCCATGCTACCGAATGATGTGGCTAAACAGACCTGTTCCATATGACTGTAGCCAGCTCATTTTCAGTCAATTAGGGCAGTTCCAGAGCATTCACGTGCAACAGCACAAAACTCCAAGTCAGACTGAGCTTCCCTTCACACCAGTCCCTCCGAGCACAGCTG